TTTTTAAAAAAAAAAAAAAAAAAAAAAAATCATGATATTCCCAGTTTGGAGCACTAGCTGGTAGAAGAACATATAGAAAAATAATGGCCAGGTTGGAGAAGCACCCGTCACACGGAGGTAAGTCCAGATTAATTTTGGGGTGCTTTTTTTGCAAGTGATCATTGTGCTGAAATGTCCTTCAGACCGACGATCCACCCCTGCAGTGGACAGCTAAACCAAAAGGGTTCACTAGGACTGGTGGCAACTAACAGAGACACAAGTCTGCTTATGTCCCACTGCTGCACACTGTTTAATGTGACTTCGTGTTACTCTTCTATATTCCCATTAATGTATGCATTTTATCTTGCTCTGACAAACTGCAGCCTTTTACACACTCAGAGGTTTAAATAAAGTAGATTATGGGTTGATTTATGTAAGCCGTTGAAAACTCCACTTGAATGGGTTTACAAGCTGGCTTTTGTCAGTTTGGCTTTCTTTGATATCTGAGATCGCAAATTAAAATATGAAATGAAATGAAAGTTATACCAAATGTGTAATATGTCATTTATACCAAGGAAACTGGCATTTCAGAGGAGCGAACTGTAGGCAATTTAGGGCTTTGATCTCCAGGAGGAAGAAGCTGCAGGCAGAAGGCGTGCGTGGTTTTTCAAAAACAAGTTGTGATCACAGGAAACCACCTGGGATATGTTCTGGCTCAGGTAACTCGGCGAGACAGAGGGAATTGGGCTCCTTGCCAGGCCGTGAGCCCGATCCAGGTCAGGTAACACTGGCACCGTGACTGACGGAGCATTGTGTCTTTGGGGCGTTTTGTTCATGTTTTGGAGTCTTCATCGGACCCTGTGGAGCACATGAACCTTCTACACACGTACAGGCGTACAGGAGTGGCTGTCCTGAGCTGGAGTAAAGGTCTGTGGTTGATTGGGCTGAAAATCCCTCAAATGCCACTGCAGCCTCTGGCAGTGTCTGTGAAATCAGGACAGGGGGCATCTCGCTGGATTTATTTTGAAACAGTTCTCTGGAAAATAGCGATTCAAGATGGCTTTTGAACTTGAGTTGGGAACATCTAGGATTTTGTTTCAGGGCTCAGCTGTAGTTAATGTAGATAAAAAGTGTATCTTCATGGTTAATTTTTACCTTATGTGACAGCATTTAAAGAGGCCGTTAAAACGTTTAAAAGATGGCACGTACATAAGTGTTTCTGCCTCCTCATCTGGTGAACGATCTGCTCTGACCACGGCATGAGCTTGCTTTACACGAAAGGACTGCAGTCCCCCAGGACACCAGACAATCCTTGATCACAAGGTTTCAATCCCTTTGGTTTTGGCAGAGTTTGCACAGGAATAGACTGTGTGAAAGTCTGTGGGCTTGTTGGCTTTTGGAGGGGAGTCTGGGGGTTCAGAGAAACCCACCCTCACCCTCCACCTCGTGTTGGCAAGTAGGTGAGCTCCTCCAGAAACTCAAAGAACATGAGGAAGAGGACTTGTCTCATAACCAGGTCATGGCCTTCAGAGGAATATTTTGAACTGAAGGGTCTGCTGTATGAGATAACTATTTCCCCTCATATCCATTTGACTAAATAAGTTCTCAGTACCTCAAAATATCAGGCTAGAGGTGCACCAAATATCCAATGAGAAGTAGGTGGTGGTGAGAGGGTTAACTGCAGCATCATTAATTTTCTGAGAAAGTAGCGGGGGGAAGAAATCTGAACCCGAATTCCAAATTCTGGTTCCAGCTAAGCTTCACAGGGTGAGTTTGGATCTTCTCTTTAAAAGGCAAAACCAATACAGTGCCCCAATTATTCTTTTATTTTGCAAAATGTCAAACTGCATGTGATCCATTTAATTTCTACAAGTGTTCCAAACAGGAGAGCTGTCTAGATGTTCCTTTAATTGAGCAATACCCTGCATAGCAACTATAGATTCAAACTTCCCTAAAAAAGCTGCTGTAGACCTAATACACAGATGCAGAGCTTCAGTTCAAAACCTGCTCTAAACTCATTTTTAGAGTTAA